CTTCTCCCTCAGCTCCAAGTTGTGGCTCTTCTCCCTCAGCTCCAAGTGGTGGTTCTTCTCCCTCAGCTCCAAGTCGTGGTTCTTCTCCCTCAGCGTTGTTGTCCCCGTCTTCCTCTCTGAAAGGGCTGTTTCTGGATCCAGCAAGGCTGGACGCGCTCAAAGGACCCTCTTGGATCACGTCGGACGCGGAGCTCCTTCTGAGGGTCCTCTCCGTTGGCGAACAGTCCCCGCCCTTCGTCCTTTGGGCCTGGTGGACTGGCTCCTGCTCGGCTTCAGACAGGAAGCTGGACCAGGGACTGGTTTTGTCTGTCACGGTGGTGATTTCGTTCAGCGTTCTCGGTTCCACGATGGCCTCGTCGTACTCTTCCTCGCTGGGGGACTCAGCGGAGTCTTCCTCCCTCCGGATCCCAGGCAGGAATCCCGAGGGAGGGGCCCTGGGGGAATCCGCGGGGTCAAAGAATCCATACCGCAGGTCTTCTGCAGAAGGGGACTCCCCGAAATCAGCTACGGGTTCTTCACCTACCCCGGCATTCCAGAATTCATTGCTTGAGGGGGCTTTGAGCACCTGGGCTCTGGTGGCGCCATCTTCCTGCCCGCGGAGGGCCTGGTCCGCGCTGGAGAATCTGTGACCGTCTTCATGGCCTCGTGAGGTCTCTTCAGGGTGGCTTGTCGTCTTAGTCCGTCGATCTAAATTGGAAGAAAAGCAATCAGGAAAGCGGAAAGCATGAAGGTTTCGGCATCTGGGCAACTGCCTGCGATACCAGGGTGGCATTAAACGTGCCAAGAACGAGGACAAAATTAATACAGGTCGTCCTTGGCTCACAATCGTTCACTTAGCGGCCGCTTGAAGTTACGATGGTACTAAAAAAAAAAGGGACTTACGATCATTTTGCATCCCCCAATGGTGACACCATCAAAATTTGGATGGCTCTGCAAGTGCCTCGTATTTATGACGGTTGCAGTGTCCTTGGGGTCACGCAATCCCCTTTTGCCACCTTCTGACAGGCAAAGTCAACGGCGGAAGCCAGATTCACTTAACGACCTTGCTACTAACTTAATGTGACGACCCAAAGGGGCGTGGCACAAAGGCAACCCAGTCAGATTAATCTCTAGGAGTCCCTTTCTTAGCTCCTACTTTGCCCCCCAATGTCCTAGTTACCTTCTGGGCTGGAGAAAAAATCTCCCAGGAACAGCAGAGAACTGACGGCAGAGAATCAAGTCCAAAACAAGGTAAACACAAACAGTAACTTAAAGTCCAAACAAGCCAAACTGAAGCAATTAGTTTGGCAGGGCAGAAGCAAGAATTCCAGATGTGAAGGCACGGCAATAATTCAACAAGGTTGGAAAGAAGCCAGGAATGCAGATAACCACAGTCAACACAAGATAAACTCATGTTTGTTCCCAGCAGCTGCTGCACTCAGCTTGCATCTCTTTTAAACTCTTCTCCCAGCGGTGGCTAATGAAGGGAATCAGGGCCCTTTCCTCCCCTGTAAGCCAGGCAACCCACGTTGCTCCCTTCTCCGTTCCTCCCTGCGTGCCCTAGGATGAAGAGGGGGTGGGCCTAGGTTTTCCTCTGAACTCCCTCTCCCTTGTTCTACCTCTTCCCTGCTCTGCCCAGCCGGACTTTGCCCTTCCCCAGTTTCCTCCACAGCCAACGGAGCCACACTCCTTCTCCCTGTCAGCTGTTCAGCTTCCTCATCTGTCCAGACTCTGTCAGGGGCATTACACTTAACAACTGCAGTGATTCACTTAACAACTTAACAATCACTGCGCTTGTGAAATTAGTAACATGACTGTTAAGTGAATCTGGTTGTCATGCCCTTGTTGGAGTCTGATTCTGAGGGGAAGATTGAGCAGCTGACAGGGAGTGGGAGTGGGGCTCCGGTGGCTGTGGAACAAACGGGGGAAGGGCACAGGCTGGCTGGGCATTCAGAGAAAGACCCAGGGCCACCCGCTCTTCACCCTAGGGCACGCAGGGAGGAACAAAGAAGGGAGCAACGTGGCTTATGGGAGAAGAAAGGGCCCTGATGCCCTTCATGGGCTGCAGCTGGGAAGACTGTTTAAAAGGGCAAACTGCACATGGCAAAGTTGCTGGAAGCAAAGCGTGCATTATCTTGGTCAAGGCTTATCTGGGTTTTGGCGTCCTCCCAACTGTGGGTGTTGCATTATCTTGTGGAAATCTGCAATTTATCATCCTGGTCTGCCGTGTTAATGACTTCAGTGTGGTTGGTGTTGGGTTTTTCTAAATTTCTAATTATCTTTACTTTGGGTTCGGACTGCAATTCTTTCCTTCGCAGGCTGTTTTTGGAAGAGTTCGTTATCCAGCCGAGGATAATTGGACATTGGGGGCCAAGTTGGAGGTATGAAAGGGAATTTATTCTACTTTGGTGACTTTGTTATTTTTGTGTCACGCCCCTTTGGGTCATCACACTGGTTCTCCCATCAACTTTGTTTGTCAGAAAGTCACAAAAGGGGATCTGAATTTTGATCATGTGACCCTGGGGAGGTGGCAACGGTCGTAAGTGTGAAAAACGGTCACAAGTCACTTTTTTCGATGCCATTGTAACTTTGGATGTCACTAAATTAATGGTTGTAAGTCGAAAACTACATGCATTAGAAACAATTTTTTCCACTTTTTTTTTTGGGATAGGTATGAGACATTTCTTCCTGAATTAAAAAAGGTATTTTTTTCTTTCTTTTCTGAGCTTAAAAGTGTAAAAGTTTCTGTCCTAGCAGGGCCTGTTTCTCACTTCCAGTTGATGGTTCTTTGAGCTGTGACCCTAAATTAGAGAAAGAAAACTCCAAAAATCAAAGTCAGACAGAAATACAGCACGGCGGATCCTTTGGTGCACAATTATATCAGGAATAACTGAATGCTCTGACACAGGGGTCGCCAACCTTTTGGACCTCAGGGACCACCAAACTCATCAGTTTAAATCCTGCAGGCCGGAGATCCTGGGAAAATCCCCAAGAAAGTCTGTAGGAAAATTCCACACCCCGTTTTCCTACCGATAGATCGTTCTTTATTTGGGATCGCAGGATACCCTCTCCAGCTCCGTTCTTAGGGAGACAGAGAGAGACTTTTGGCTTCAGGCAAGGAAAACAGCAGAAGCAGCAGAAGTCTTTCTTTCTCTCCCCCAAACTCCACCAGAATGGTGCAGCCTCTTGGAGCAGGAGGCCTTGCAGGGTCCCAAAGAATCATTTCTGGCAGAGTTTGGGGTAGAGAAAGAGAGTCTTTTGCTACTTTCCTTGCGTGCAGCCAAAAGCAGAATAAGAAAGAAGTGGAAAGAAGCAGCCCAGTGGCCAGGCCAGGCGCGTGGGGCAAGTGGGGTAAGTCCCCCCCTCCGCCCTTTCCCCCCTCCCCTCACTACCTCGTGTTGTTCGCAATGCAAGTGACGCAAGCCTTGTGTTCCCGTGGGCCATGTGGGCAGCGCAGCCTTGTGTTCCCGCGCAGCCTGGATTAATTGCTTTGGGGGCAACATTTCTCTGCGGACCACCAGTGGTCCCCGGCCCACTGGTTTGGCGACCACTGCTCTGACACACTTAGAACATGGCTGGGGCTCTTTAACTTAAACCCCTAAAACTGCCGATTTGAAGGACGCGAAACGAGAAATACACAATCACACAGATATGCTGGGACAGCCTTTTCTAGGCACAAATACTATTTAATTTCAAAGCACACACACGTTATCGTTTTCTTGCAGGAACCAAACCAAGGCCAGACTGTTTTTTAAAAAAAAATGTTTGCAAACCGTTTCAAATTTTGTTTTGCAAAGAGAAGTGCAGTTTTCGTACTTTCCGTTGTAAAATGGGGGCAGAACTCACTTAACATATTGTCTCGCTTAGCAATGGAAACGAGGAGAGACTCAACCTGGAAATAAGGAGAAACTTTCTGACAGTGAGAACAATCCACCCATGGAACAGAAGTTGCCCTCGGAAGTTGTGGGAGCTTCATCACTTGAGACTTTCAAGAAGAGATTGGACTGCCATTTGTCAGAAATGGTGTAGGGTCTCCCGCTTGGGTGGCGGGTTGGACTAGATGACCTACAAGGTCCCTTCCAACTCTGATGATCTATTATCTGTTGAGTTCAGTTGTGGTTAAGTCAAGGATTACCTAGGTTATGTCCACTACCAAATTTGATAGCACTGTACCGGTCATTGCTGACTTCTCCGGAGCCATTCAGAAGGTAACTGGCACCGCCATGCCAGATGGGGGACAACTTACCGACACTCTGGCTGCCAACTTGAGAAACTTGAATGGGTTTCTTCTGCAGGTGGTCCTCTTCTAGATTTACCCTCCTGGAGAAAGGTGTCTGGATGTCAAGACCCTCTGTGGCGCTGCAAGGAGCGTTCAAGTCTGGCAGAGGTCTGGTGAGTTTTCCGCTGAAATACCTCTGGATCTCGTCCAGCTCGTCCAGGTTTTTTCTGGAATAAAAAGAGAATAGAGAATAGAATAGAATAGAATATGAAATATGGAGAACAGAAAATAGAATAGAAAATAATACAATAGAATATAATAAAATAGAAAATAATAGAATAAAAATAGAATAGAAAATAGAATAAAAATAGAATAGAAAATAGAATAAAAATAGAAGAGAAAATAGAAGAGAAGAGAAAATAGAATAGAAATTAATAGAATAGAAATAGAATAGAAAATAATAGAATAAAAATAGAATAGAATAGAAAAAAATAATAGAAGAGGAAATAAAAGAGAAGAGAGAATAGACAATAATAGAAGAGAATAAAAATAGAAGAGAATAGAATAGAAAATAGAAGAGAATCAAATAAAATACAAAAGAAAATAATAGAGAAAATAGAATAGAAAATAATAGAACAGAAAATAGAAGAGAATAGAAAATAATAGAACAGAAAATAGAAGAGAATAGAAAATAGAAGAGAATCAAATAAAATACAAAAGAAAATAATAGAGAAAATAGAATAGAAAATAATAGAACAGAAAATAGAATAGAATAGAAAATAATAGAACAGAAAATAGAAGAGAATAGAAAATAGAAGAGAATCAAATAAAATACAAAAGAAAATAATAGAACAGAAAATAGAATAGAATAGAAAATAATAGAAGAATTGCAGTTGTTGTCTGGCTCCCACGACTGCTTGTCGGAAGCACCCAATTTTTGATCACCTGACCATGATGTCATGGTGTGGCCATGGTCATAAGTGTGAATAACGGTCGTAAATCTCTTTTTTCCCCTCGTGCCGTTGTAACTTTTGAGCATACTCTAAAGGAAGGGTCGTAATTTGATGACCTCCTGCACAAGCATCCAAATTTTGATCACGTGACCAAGGAGGCCACCAACGTTGAGATGATCGTTAAAGGCGAAAAAGGGTCCCAAGTCACTTTTTTTCCCAGGGCCGTCGTAACTTGGAACGGCCACTGAATGCGAGGACTGCCTCAAATCCTTTATGGGGACTTTTTTACTCCTGAGTCCCCTGCTCTGCCCACTGGGACGTGAGTGCGAAACCTTGCCGGGTCTTTTCACCTGAGCGCTCTGAAGAGCGACGTGTGGGAGGAAAGGGACGGGGCATCGAGCCCGTCTGCCGGCTCCGTCTTCTCCTCCGCTTGCTGCAAGGACGTGTGGAACCGACGGACGTTCAGCACGTGCTCCGTGTGACGGGACCCGGCCCTGCGGAGGAGCGCAGGCGAAGATAGAAAAGCCCTTGTGGTAAATGTATTCCCCCAAAACCCTGAACCCCAATCGAAAGGGAAGAAAAAGGAAGAACCCAAGGGAACAGGTTTAACCGAACGACCCTTGTACAGCAGTGAAAACACACACACATCATGTGGAAACACGGGACACGAGGTAGGGTAGCTTGAAGATGTGTGCAGTCGTGTACCATCAAGCAGCTGTAAAGAAAGTGGGGGTCCTCTGGTGCTCTGTGAGCTGGGTGGTTTTCTTGCAGACCTTTCACGACCCAACTAGGGAACATCATCAGTGCTAGAAGGGAATTGGGTTTGCAGAGAGGAGGAGAAAGGGAAGAGGAGGAGAATTAGAAGAAGAAGAAGAAGAAGAAGAAGAATTAGAAGAATTAGAAGAAGAAGAAGAAGAAGAAGAAGAAGAAGAAGAAGAAGAAGAAG